TATAAACCATATTCTGCCCATGAATTTGGCATCAATTCACGGTTAGGAATTCTGACCTAGATTGATCAGCCATTGTTCCAAAAAAAATTCAGAGAAATATGGATAGGCCTAATGCAGATTTCTGAATTCCACTACAAATCTATCAACATTCAAAAGGTCAAAAATCTACACTCTATGCATTCATACCCGCCCATGAATTGACATCAATTCCGAGCTAACACCTACCCCAACTGTACTTTAGGCCTATGAATTCTGACCCTCGGCTGAGCAGTCATTCTCCAAAAAATTTCCATTGTAAGAAAAAGGTAAAAATATAAATGTTTCAGCCTTAAAATTTTAACCTATTATATTTTGGTCTTTTAATATCAGGAATCTAGCACAAGCGTATGTAGATCTGGGCCTTGGCCTATAATTTAAGGCCATTGTGTGAGTTAGGCCCAGGCATACATAAAGCCCCTTTATACCAGGTGCCAATCTCAGGGTTTAACTGGCTCTTTACACTGTTTGATTTGAAGGAAAAAGTAGGGAAAGGAAAGGAAAAGGTAAGAAAACATTTATAAACCTTGTATGATTTCCCTACCTTTTCCTTCAAACCAAACGTAGCCTTATTATTTTTTAATCACCAATCAAATCTAATATCGTCTCCTAAACCCAACTGAACAATTCATAGGACTCTTAATGTAGATATAGATAGTATGTTTTAAGCTAAATATACATTGGTGTGGGTCTATCATTCTTCTAGACAGGTGTGTTATTTAATCACAAATCAAACCAAATTTAGTCTCCTAATCAAATAAAAAACATAGTCTAGATGCTTCCAAACCTTTTCTATTACCATGTTGATAGTGGGTCCCAAAAAAAAACCTGCTCATGTGCAGTTGCCTGTACTTATAGGGAAAAACTTTGGCTGTTTGGGAGATTCTTGCACATGACACATTACCATGAGTATGGGGTAAAAGAATATTTCTAATCAATATTGTTTGAGCCAAAAGGACAAATAAGAGACTAAATGTAATAATGTATCATGATCAGGAAATCTCAAACAGTACAGGTTATTTTTTCTAAGGTTTTAAAAGGTTAAAGGCATAGATGAGGCGTAGTGAATTAAAAAAGTGCGGTGTAGCAAGACGTATGCCTCAAAGTTTTATAAAAAAAATATTAGTTCATAAAGATAAGCTAAGAATAATATAACTTAAAAGCATTCATAAATAAATCTATAAATAACAAATTCTACACTTTTAGCATTTAACAAAATAATAACTAATCAACTAACAACCATAAAACTTTCATATTTCAAGTTTTATCTAAATTTCTCAAAGTGTTCAAATGACCAATCTTATATTTTAGATTATAAAAATTTTCTCTTCATCAAAGCCTCTATCACTATGAGATCTTCTAATGAATCATCTGTATAATTAATATTAGATTTATGGTCATCAAACATTTCAGAAGAAAGTAAACAATTTAGTTGGTATAATCTATGAAAAACAATAAAAAGTAAAGATCCATTATGAAGATAACTGAGAGGCAAAAATCAGGTAAGTATACTAGTTTTTTTTTTTTTTCTTGTGGAGAAAATAGAAAAAAATGACAAACTTAGAATTCTATATTTTTGGTCACTCAAAAATGTAGAATAATAAGAAAAAAATGCCACTTGATTTGACCAAAAATGAGGAGAGAATGAAGGATTTTTTAGCCTCTGTTGCATTGAACATTTTTAAAATCCTAAGAGAAACTAAGATTTCTATTCACTCTATTAGTTGTTCATTTTAATCTTTTTATTTGGCTCATAATTAATTAACAAAGTGCAATTCCTATATATTTTAAACATAAAAAGCATAAAAAAATCTTTTTCTTGCACTAAATAATCCAATTGTCATAGGTTTTGAGCCTTTTAAAATCATGGTGATTCCCAAACAGCTAAAGTTTTCCTCCAACTAGTGAGTAATTAAGAACAAATGTAGCATAAATAAAAAAAAAAAATCTTTTTCTTGCATTAAATAATCCAATTGTCATAGGTTTTGAGGCTCACGCCTCTCTATGTCTCATGCCTTCGGTCAAAGTTACAAAGCTTAAGTCTTCAGAATAAGTCTCACGCCTCAAGACTTAAGCCTTTTAAAATCATGATGATTCCCAAACAGCTAAAGTTTTCCTCCAACTAGTGAATAATTAAGAACAAATGTAGCATAAATAAAAGGAAAGAAACTGTTTTTTTTGTTAACAAGAGAAAAGACTGATTAGAAACCTTAATTTCCAGAGAAGGAATGGGTCTATTAACCTTTGGTCATTTGGTAAAGAAGCCAAAACCCTAAAAACCCAAGGAGGTTCAGGATCAAATCCACATAATTTTTGGCTCTTCATGGCATGGCCAGTGGGACTCACGTGTAATTTGCTGTCCCTACTTGAGCCCCCCTGTAATGTGCACTATATAATACGAAAATGAGAAAAAAAAAAAAAAACCAAAAACCTACCCATTGGCAATTTTGTTTGGATGTGGGATAAAGTGATATGTCCCAATCTTGAGAAAAAGTGGGACTTGCAATTAGTTATATGCACCTGATTTTTCTATAGTGGGGTGGGGATGGGGGCTCTCATTTTGTCACCTGTGCCTTCAATAGATTTCATTCTGAAGAATAACTGGGCCAAAAATCAGCATTAATTCTTTTGCAGAATTTGATTTCTTACAGAACATATCTGGACTATGATGAGAAGTTCTATTTGAAGCTTTTTCAAAGGAGCATCTATGTGATCCTGATCTAAGCACCTCACTGATGGACACGTAGCCAATATTATATATTAAAGACATTTTTATTTTTCAAGTTGGGGGTGCTCAATTGGCTGGATTACTAACATTTCTGGCTGGTTGTAATTAAGTTTGTAAAAGAGACCTGGGCCAATTTCTGCCTTCTCCTGGGTTGAGATGTTGAGGGATTATGGGTATGGGGATGGACCTAACCTGGATTTACTTCAAGCAAAAGTTATACATATAGCATCTAGTGGTACGTTAGAAATATTTCAAATGTTAAATTTATGAAAAAATGTTCCCAAATGATGGGTGGGTTTTTTTTGTTTAAATGATGGGTACAGGTTTTAGGATTTTACAACCCGTATGGGTATGGGTAGTGTACGGTGGTATTATGCAAAACCTAATTCTCCTCAACCCCAATATTGTTGGAAAGATATAAACTTTATTATTTATATATAACAAGAAATAATAAGAAATTAGATGTGGGCTTTAAATCCAACCCACCCCTACCCTTGAATGCGTGGAGGATAGGGTTGGGGAGGGTTTTGCACTTTCATGTGCAAGGAGGGTTTGAATTCTCAAAATCCAACCCACTACAAATTTTAAGATAGGGTTGAGAGATTTAGGGAGGCAAGCAGGGTCTACAATTTACAAAACCCTCTCTGAAACCCCTCCGTTGTCATCCCTACCCCTAAGGGATGGATCACCCTTGTTGTATAGCCCATAAAGCCAAAGAAAAAAGGAAAATTTATGTGTGCATAAGTATACTCAAACAACCAACTTAGGTGGTATTCAAAAGCGTAGTGAAAGATATATTGAGTTTCAAACCATGCCACACCTCATTCACTTATTCGGTTGTAGTGTGACATATAGGGGTGGATTCGAATTCAGCCGAGTTGAAAAGTACGAGGCTCAAGGTTAGCTCGAGACTGTTCTATAAGGCTCGAGCTCTATTCGAGTAAAAAATTCATAAGCTTGAGTTCGATTCGACTCGAGCTCAATTTTGAGAAAAAATATTTTATAAAAATAAAAAATTATATATAAAAATATTTTTTATTTGATATTAAAAAAAGAATTATAATAATTATAATATTTTTATTATATATATTATTTTCTATAATTTTATTTTATATATATTCGAACCGACTTGCGAGCCTCAGAAACCGAATCAGATGACAGTGGTGCAAATTATTTGAGTAAATATAGAAAAATAAATTGCTGAAGATGAGTCTTACCCATCGAATTGAGATTGGACTCAACGTCAGAAATGGATATTGTATATCATCTAAATATCATATATTACTAATAAAACAAAACTATATATTAATTCTTTAATGTTGTATCTTATGATATAAAAATAATTCTACAAGATTTACATATTAATTCTATGTAGATTCAAGCTCATGAATTATGATGAATCAGATGGAATCGAACAATATCCAGATCCAAATTCGGGTGAAGTTAACCCGAATTAGGTGAAAGGGAAACTGTTGGCAGCCCTAATAAGCTAAACCGTGGGTTTGAGTTTCATAATTTTTGGTTTTTGTAGTATGAGGTCTGATTAAAAGTGAAGGGTGAAGGGATTACATGTGGTGCACATGCATGTGGGAAGTGGGACCAACAACCATGTGACACGCCAGAAAACGATCTAATCAAGTGGGCCATACCTCCACAACCACAAGTCCACAGCCACTCGCTCATGAGTAACTCAACCAAACAAATAAAAAAGAAGGAAAAAATACTAATAAAAGGCCTCTATCTCCATGAATGAAATGGAAGCAGTGATTAGATTGATGTGTCGTGGCGATAGCGGTGGAGGCATTAGAAGAATGGTGACATCTCCACCAATGGTTTGGTGTAGGTCCCACCCTTGCCCTGCCCCAACATCTACCGTAAATTCCAAATAAAAGCAGCATAATAAAGTAGGCAAGGCAACTATTGCAACGGATCCGTGCTTTCATGTCATAAGTCGTAAGTCATAATTAAGCTACCAGTTTTCACTTTTCACGTCCATCACTCCTTTACTATTTTGATATAATAAGCGTACGTCCACCGTAAAAGTCCAAAACTACGCACAGTGCATCCTACGCACTACCCTAGGCTAATCTAATGGGGTCCCGACTCCTACGTGTAAAGCCACACACACAAAACAAACACCGTAGGCGCACCACGCACCAGCGCGCACAGTTGGACTCTCCGCGTATTAAATGCCGGCGACCACCATGTTTTTAGGTGCCTAGACTCTAGATTTTAGGTGCTTTATTAGTCTCGCTTTTTTCTCTTTTTTAACGTATTTATAAAAACTCCCGTCTGGCGTTCGGCGACTGCTGGAATCTACGTCGCCGGCCGTCTGAGGAATCTGACCCACACAAACCCGTTTCTCTGTTCCCCACCAGCAGTGAACAGCCCGTTTTCCTTTCGTGATGTGTACTTTTATATAATAAAACACAATTAAAGGATATCTAAACTTTGTGTTTTCTTTCTATGTTTATTTATTTATTTTTATTTGCAGTGGTAGGAAGAGTTGGGTCTGTTTTGCTGAAGCTTCAAAGGGCGAAATGGCAATCCGAGGAGATTTATAGGGATCTGGGTTTTGTTCTTCATGTTTGTCTTCGTTGAAATCTTCAGTAAGTTTTCGTGGTATTTTATTTCTTTTTTCTTTGTTGTCTTTATCTCCAGGTCAATATTTGTGTTCTGATCTTCCTTCCGTAGAAATTTGCAAAATTTTCGTTTTCAAAGTAATTTGGAAGCAGGAATTCATCCTCTTAGGGTTTTGGGTCTTTGATTTCTTTAGTTTCCGTGGTTTTTCTTTTTGTTTGGCCTCAAGGGGTTTTTGTGGACTTGTGCTTTTAAGATCCCGGTGAAATTAGGGTTTTTGGTTTTCAGTAATTTCAGTTTAATTTTTCTTTTGCTGTTGATGAACTTGGTGTTCGTAGTTTCTTGAAGCCCATGTGGAAATTATAGATATCCGGGTTCTGGGATCGAGAAGTCCTAGAAATGTTCCTCCAGTCTGTCTGATCTCACTACTTGGTAGACTGAAACTGAATTTCGCATCTTTGTTTTAGAATCTAAACCCTAGAAATGTGACGTTTATTCTGCAATTCACTTCGAACTTGACCCTAGAAGTCCTAAATTTAATGGATGTGGTCAATACAAATTTTCATTATCAGTTGTACGTTTACCCTTCCGTTTCCATCGCCGTTTTTGGGAAGTCGGGTTTCTAGGGTCAGGTTTCTGAGGCTATTCACCGCTCCTTAGAACTGGATTGAGGCTTCGGGTTTCTGCATGGAGTGCAACAAAGAAGAAGCTTTTAGAGCCAAGGAGACAGCAGAGAGGCGATTCGCTAAGAAAGATTTTGCAGGTGCCAAGAAATATGCAGTTAAGGCCCAAAAATTGTATCCAGAATTGGATGGCATCTCTCAAATGCTGGCCACATTTGACGTTTATGTTGCTTCGGAAATTCAAATCAATGGGGAAATTGATTTCTATGCAGTTCTTGGATTGAATTCATTTGCAGATGAAGATGCAATTAGGAAACAGTACAGGAAACTGGCGCTGATGCTTCACCCTGACAAGAATAAAACTGTAGGTGCTGATGGGGCATTCAAGCTTGTATCTGAAGCGTGGACTCTCTTATCAGACAGTGGTAAAAGATCCTCTTATGATCAAAGGAGAAACAAACCATCCTCGGCAAATGTTGTCAAGACAAACTCTGCTGCAGTTCAGAAGCCCATAGCTAATGGCTCCCGTAACTGTACTAAAACTTCATCTCATGACCAGCCCAAGCCTCAAACTTTCTGGACTGCTTGTAGTTCGTGCAAAGTACAATATGAGTATCTCCGCAAGTACCTAAACAACAAACTCTCCTGTAAAAACTGCCGGAGAACCTTTGTGGCTGTAGAAACAGGGAAAGCCCCCACCAATGGTTCTATCCCTTTCTGTTCTTGGTCATTTGCTCCAGAAAATTTGCATGGAAATCATGGGTTCGGTGGTATAACATATTTTCCAGCCAATACTATCTTTGTTACAGGAAGTGCAGTCCCGGGGTTTTATTCTGGATTTGGGTATGAATATCCACACATGACTTTCCAGTGGAGCCCATTCCCTGGTACCTCTGCTGGCACTATGACTGCTCACGGTTCAACCACACCATCTGCTGGTGTCACCCATCAGGTAAATAACACTGTAAAAAGAACAGGGGAGAAGATTAAGACCGCAGCAAGGGAGAAGGATCTCAAGAAGAATCTTATGAGTACTGCATCTACCAAAACACTTGCCAGCAATGCTGAACCTCCAACCTCCAAGGCTGAGAGACCTGAGAAGAAAAGGAAGGTTGATGAAAGCGCTTCTATAAATGGGTATAAAGAGAAAGTATCCAAAACTGAGACTTTAGATTCCAGAATGGCCAATAAAGAACGAAACGTTGGGCAGAATGCAAAGCCTTATGGCACAAGTGAAGCAGCAGTTAGATGCCACTCGGTTGCACAAGTAAATGGAAATGTCGGGTCCAATGCCAAACCACTCGGTGCAGGTGAGGCTCCTGTTAGGCGTTCAGGTGCACTGCCATTTGATGCTCGGCAGCTGTTAATTAACAAGGCAAGAACTGAGATTAGAAAGAAATTGGAAGAGATAAAGTTGGCAGCAGCAGCAGCAGTAGCAGCGGCAGCTACAGAGGAGAAGTCAAAGATTCAGAATCAGAAGTCCACGGTTCTACAAACAGGAGATGATTTGGGTGTTTCTGTTAATCAGTCAGTGTCAAATGGATTGGGATCAACCTCAATAACCGTCCCTGATTCTGACTTCCATGATTTTGACAAGGACAGATTAGAGGAATGCTTCAAGCCGAAACAAATATGGGCTATATACGATGAGGAAGATGGTATGCCTCGCTTGTACTGCCTGATCCGCCAGGTTATCTCTGTGAAACCATTCAAGGTTCAAATCAGTTACTTGAACTCTAAAAGTGACAGTGAGTTCGGCTTGGTAAACTGGGTTGATTCGGGCTTCACCAAATCCTGTGGAAATTTTAGGGCATGGAACACTGCTGTCATTGAGCAAGTGAACATTTTCTCACATGTTCTTTGTGGACAGAAAGCTGGTAGAGGAGGATGCATCCGAATTTTCCCCAAAAGAGGAGACATTTGGGCTGTGTATCGTAATTGGTCACCAGACTGGAACAGAACCACCCCGGACGAAGTGAGGCACCACTATGAGATGGTGGAGGTCCTTGATGATTACACGGAAGAGCTTGGAGTCTGTGTTAGTCCCCTTGTTAAGTTAGAAGGATTCAAGACGGTATACCAGAAGAATGTTGACAACAAAGCAATAAGATGGATTCCAAGGAGAGAGATGGTACGGTTTTCACACCAGGTACCATCGTGGTCACTAAGAGAAACTAGCAACTTGCCCGAAGGATGTTGGGATTTAGACCCAGCAGCAACTCCAGATGAGCTTCTTAATTCATGACGGAAAGAGAGAGAGAGAGCTAATAATCAACCCGATCCAGCAGAGAAGTCGTGACATCCGTAATTGTACCAAACTACCAATTGTAGCATTTCATCAGATAGCTGGGGATGTAAGTGTACAAAATATACACATTGCCGGTCGATTTTCAGAGAATAGAGAGCCAGGCGGATCAGAAGTTGGTCCACAACTTAAACCCCAGGTGATTTATTATTTTTATTGGGGTGCAAGTGTTATTTTTGCAAACCAGTCATATTGGGAATTCGGAATCTATTTGGCTTCTTGCTCAATGAAATGCTCTCCTTTCTTAACCGCAAATATAATGAAGTTATCGTATTTGTTCGGTCCAGGGATCTTTCTTACCAGACTCATCGTCGAGTCCGTTACCGTCAGTAAGATGAATTCCTCGAATCGTTGGACTTGGTTCGTTGCATGCCTATTCAATGGCCCTATTATATGGTTATTCAGCTGAAAGTCCATCCTGAATTTGCCCCTTGTACACTTTGTGCACATGGATCTCCAAGGAAGCATATCCACGCAACAAAATCGAAGCACAGGCCATAGTCACGACTCACGAGTTTCCTTGTGCTATAACGTGTGCTTGAAGCCTTGAACCAGCGTTAGAAAATGGAATTTTATACCGACCATTTATGTGTTCAAAGTTCAAACACATCTTATGCGTCTCAAACTAAGCTTTAACCATTCAAATCCTCGGACCAATTCTTTCCTTTGTACTTTTGCTGCAAATTGTTTCTAAGATTCCCCTCTTTTCAATATGGGGTGACCCAAATAATTTAATTGGTTGCTGCTGTAAATTCAAGTAGCAGTTAGGCCCTAATTGGATGAGTTATATTTAAGCTCTTTTGTATGAGCATAATTTGGTAGGGCTTCCAAGTGATGGTGGCTCAGTTGGTAAGTTCTTGTCTGGTTGGAGTGGGATCAAATCCACTGCCACCGGGATTTGGGGGTTATAGGTATGGGAGACGGTCTACTCTAACACCCCCCTTTGTGCAGCATAAAAAAGGTAGGGCTTGAACCAGTTAACCAGTTAGATTAATATCTGAGGGTCCGTATCCATTTGGTTTATATCCACAATCATCGGAATAGAAGTCCTTTGGAATTGAAATTGTCTATTCCCATAGTCTGTTTGGTTTAGACAAGAATAGGAATCGGAATTGAAATTGGAATCAGTAGGAATGAGATTTCATTCTCAAGAGAGGGGCAGGGACATTCATGATTGAACTTTGGATCGAATTCAACTTTGATGTTTTATGTAGTGTTTTCAAAACCGGACCGTACCGAATGGTTAGGCTGGAAAAACCGGGAACTGGTCACCTGACCAGTTCTGTTTCACCCCAAAATTGTTTTTTGGCTAAAATCATTGACTTGGTCAGCAAACCGTTGACCTAGGCGATTGAACCATCAACCCGGACAATGTTTTTTGGACTTTTTTTGTTTTTAAATTTTTAATGTCAGAGAGGGCCATTTGAGACCGGACGATTGGACCATTCAACCCGGGAACCAGTCCCCAGAATAGTTCCGTCTGGTCCAGTTTTAAAAACATTGGCTATATGTGATGAACAAAACGGAACAGAATCTAGTAAACATAAATATGTTAAACAAGCACTTGATAATTATTTTGACAACAATCAAAAAGGGGTTTTAATCTTTTTCAAGGGTGGGCTGAGGGTATTTTAAGGGCCAGATGTAAAAGAAAAAAAATTCAAATTCTCATTAAACGTGCTTACAATGTTGTGCTTACCTGATCCTAACTGGAATAAAACGGCCTGAAACTAATTTATACAATAAATATATGTGCAGATGAGCAGATCCGGAGTCCACGTTTGAGTCCTTGATCCTCCACCACATTTAGATGGGAGACAGGCGACCATCCAACTATTGAGCCATTGCCTCGTTGGCAATAAAAGCATATATACGAGTATACCGAATTGGGATGATGCCAGAGGATTGAAAAGCATTTCGCTCATCTTGGATGTACATACTTAGGCTTTTTGAGGGAGAACAAGGTCACGCTAGCCCTTTGTTTTGTTAAAAAAGGCCGAAATATGAAATTCCAGGACAGAAAAATAAAACTCGATAGGACTGGGGTTGATCCAATTATGAATTGATAGCATTTGGATCACCTCAATTGGGTCGAATTCAAACGCAGCTACTTTTTTGGGGATAAGGGAAAACAGTCAAACAGATACCATTTACATCTCTAAAATTTGCATTAGCCATGCGGGTTAATCATATAGAGAAACTTAAAAAAGAAAAAGAAAAAGAAAAAGACGAAAAGTGTCAAGACCAACAACAAATAGTACATAGCTACCATCGCTCAAGAAGCAATTCACCTTCATATCAACTTTCTCTGCCTTTATTAGGCCCCTATTTGAAATTTAAATTTTGTTATCCCCACCTCAATGGAGTGTAGATCCTTGAAGCAATTCTACTCATTAACGCACTATACATTGAGTAGATACATAAGATCTATAGATGAAAACAATAATGTTAATAGACACAGCCCCTCTCATTAATACCTCTAAAACAAAACAAAATAAGAAAAATAATAGAACAAGAAAATTATTTGATTACAGGTATGAACATGATTAAGTAAAGAAACAAAGTGTCTGGAGATCCAGCATTTATAGCAATTCCCTCTCGCCCCCCTTCTCAAAATTGGATGTCAAACCACTTTGCCATGTAATGCAAAAGTATCAATACACCAACAAGGTTATCCATTGTCGCACCAGATAGCAAGAATGACACATCCTACCAGAAGTGAACCCGAGCAGAGATGGCAAAGCAGCAGAGTTGTTCATTTGGACAGGAATTGGGGGCACCAAAAGAATTCTCACCAGTGGTACATTTGAGCAGTACACAGAATTGCTCACCAGTTATGAAGTTGAGAAGCAATACTTTTCACAATGGGGTGGTATGTTGTATGCATATACCGCTTAGCCTTCTCAGAGCCAGGCTGGTCTAACCACTCGTCATACAAGCCCTTTACTAAAGGATTCTCAAAAGGATCAGCTACCAAAATCTGTGAAACAAAATAGGTATCTAAGTGCATTATAAGATGATATCTACGGGGGCAAGTGATCACAATACATGTGAAAAATTTATACGAGGTCTGTTTGGATGAAATGGAAACTTTCTTCTAGAACTAGGAAATCTTAGAAAAATAGAACTGTAAGTTCACATTCTATTGGCAAGGATACTAAGAAATAAAGCAAGGAGGGCAATTAATCAGTTTGCCAGGTCTCCACTATTATCATGATGCTGAGATTATCAGTAAAATATATATCATGTCAGGCAGTGAACCTGATTTCCATCAGCCTCAATCATACAAAACTTAAGTCTGTTCATTCTATTTATTCCCTTTTGTAAACCAATCCAAAGAAGTTCATCAGGGGGTCTCATGAAGTAATAGTTACGGGGCATTAGCAGGTCTCTCAGTTTAGGAAGCCTACAGCCTTGTAGGGACTTTAAAATTGTGGACAAGTCCTATAAGAGTTTCTCTGTGTAAACTGTAATGAAAGGGGTATATTCTTTATAGCTCAACAAAAGGATAATTATGGGATGGTAGCATCTGGTATTTTGAATATTTACGTTTTCTGGTTGGGGCCTGACATCAGCCTCGGAATTTTATAGCTCCATGAAACTTGGCCACAAATAGGATAACAACAATCTTTTAAATTACTCCAAAGCATCTTCACTGTTACTGTTCCTCGTGATAAGATAGGATGATGCAAAATGACAACTAGCACTTGCTAAAAGAAATGGTCGACAAGTGTGAATTTCAAGCAGACTTACATCTTCCATGTATTTAGTTTCTAACGATTGAATCAAAACCTTAACAGACTGTCCAGGCTTTGATTTAATTTGACCTCCACCATTCAAACAACCTGTTGAAGAAAACATGACAGTTAGACCTTTTCACAAGCTTCTGCTTCAATCCGGATAGACGATATTCTCAATGAACACACCTGAAGGACATGCCATAACCTCCAAAAATTGATAATTGCATTTCCCAAATTTGATTTGTCTAACAATATTCTGAAGGTTCCGGAAGCCATAACAAAGTGCAAATCTCAAAACAGTTTGCCCCTCTACCTGCATAAGTAGCAGTTTGAATGTGTGAGTACCACAATATTATAAATATTATTTTGATTTTTATGCAATACTCTAAAAATTGCTAATCTACAATATGAAACTATGATTCCTATTGTTCACTATGAGCACAATATGTTAGGTCCTTGAAGAGATAAAGGCACAATACAATCTGAAAACATAATCAGAAGATCATCAAATTCCAGCATGGTCCATAAATGGGGCTTGACCCCTTTCTGTGTGTGCACACATACAGGTTCGCTTATATTTCTTAGAACTGTAAGAATAGAAAAAGTGCCTTACTTCTAGAGTCACTTCCCGGAAATCAGAATTCCGTAATGTTTTGAAGTCAAGAGGACCTTTTATCTCTTTTCCAAAGAGTGTCTTGGCTGCATGGCGGAAAATTGTTTCTGCATAACCTCCAGAGCTTCCAAGGACCCCATAAAGATGTCCTTCTTCATCAACATTTGTCAGCCTACAGGTATAATGTAGTGTCAAAATATATATCAGACAAAAGATAAACATGATTAAGACAGGATAAACGAGTGCCTTACAGTCTATCTAGAGGAGACTCTTCCAAAACCTTGAAATTTGTGGATTTTAACTGCAGCAGTCCCCAATAAAAGGTCAATGTTGCATAAAAAATTCCCCTTGAGACAATCTTTTTTAGATGCACAAAACAGGTACAAATGATTATAGGATTCTTAGTTTCTCAAAATACAACATAGTGATTGCAATGTTAGTGTAACACTAAATATGTTGATAAATGATTCTTTCCCTTCTAGTTAAGTAGTTTCTTTTCAAATACCCATATCATGGGATTTGAAAAATTGTTAAGTTTACAAAGTTTGTAATGCTAAAATTGTTAGATATACAACTTATTTGTTTCTTTTATTGGGAAGCATAAATAATAAAATATACTTTACACGAACAACATAAGATAATCTCATTGCAACATACAGATAACTTGTACACTAGTACTATCCACAGATTCAGTGACAGTATCAGTACTATATCATTTTGACTGAGCTTAGATGTTAGGCATAAAGTTCAAGTGCTGGTAAGACAGACAACAAATGTAAAGTTACCTCTATCAATTCCAAGACCTCTCCAGATGTCAAGACTGAATCTACCTCTGTAATCCTTATAACCTTGTCATCACCAGTTTCTCCTTGAAGTTCCACTGAAAACACAAAATCATCCCTAGCAGCTTCAAGCTTCTTATCATAACAGGGCATCACAGCCACATGGTAGACATTGTCAGGCCTATGAAATATTCAAAAATCAATATATAGAATAAGAATAAACCAACTTATTCTATGGCTATATATCATTGCTATGTTTTTCCTTATAAGAAAGAAGTATTGGTCCAGGTTTAGACAACCACAAAAGTTCAGGGGAAATAATAACGAACTGAAAGCTTAGATAGAATATATACCTGCCTTCAATTCTAAGGATTAAAGGAATTATGCCAAGACTTATGTGAACATATCCATATTGTTAGAGAATATCAACCTATTCAAGGACCTCACCTAACAGCTTAAGCTTTTAGGAATGGTTCTTTGAGATGGTATCAGAGCCACTTTGACCAAGTGGTCTAGTGTTCGATCCTCATTACCCTCATTATAATTAATTAAGTTTCAGCACAAGGTGTGGGTGGGCCTGTGCTTGTTCACACTTCAAGGCCAATGGGCTTTCATATAAGGGAGCATGTAAGAGAATATCAACCTATTCAAGGACCTCACCTAACAGCTTAAGCTTTTAGGTTGAATGGTTCTTTGAGACATATTCTCAAAATATACTGCATGTAATGAGTTTCAACTTGCTTTTGGTGAACTAAATCATTCAAGAAAAGGAATATCGATAAACCAAAGTATTCATGACAAGGAAAACAAGATTAATTATTTCAAAGGGTTTGGTTAAATTGAGTCAAGTATTTAAGCGATCTTAAATATATTCACAATCAAAGAAAATTATGGGCATCTACAAATCCTTAGAAATTGAAAGTAAACACATCCTACCAAAACACAGAAGAGTCATGAACAGTTCAAAGCATGTCACTGGAATAGGATTGTCGTTACTTTCAGCATGCTCCCATCTTTCCCTAAGGACAATATCCCTAATTCCATTGAAAAAAAAATTGCTACATAATATTTCTTCTTTAGATAAATGAAGTTCATTCTTCAATATCAGGTGAAATTATTTTCTGAGGTGATAGTGTGCAATAACTGGGCAATACCAAGAATATGGAATTCTTACCTTGTAGCATCATATTACTACTCTATTACTATTCTCAAACATAGAGCACTGTATTTAACAACATAAGTATTACCAAAGAAAAAAATTACAAATATTGTAATGGAGAATGAAGATCAAAGCCAAGTGCTTGGAAGACAATCTTGCTAAACAAGGGATTCAGAGACAGAATCTGTACTGAGCACAATTGTAATTTTTTGGGGGCCTGTCCTATCCTAGATTGCTTTTATACACAACTTCTTGTAAACTCCTTTATAATTTCTTTAATAAAACTCTTTTCTCTGTGTTGCTCATAAAACAAAAAGAATGAAGATCAAAGCCACAGGCAGTATTGCATGGATGCCCTAGCTTTGGAGGGGCTTGTGAGTCAACATGGTTCCAGCCAACTCATATCTGACTCTCCAAAGCAAGGCTCAAAATATTGATACACCTGATACACATGAACTTGCATACCGAATGTTTCGATATCACATAACATTTTAGGTTTTTTTTTTCAAAATTGGTCAGAAGATCAGTCTTTGGCCTGCCTACCCCCTAATAGTGATCAAAACCCCAAAAGCCTTTATTCTGTGTATTGGGGGCTTGGTGATACAATACGATACACCCATATCATATCAAATTTTTGAACCTTGCTCAAAGGTTCATGTTTGATTCTGCTACAGTATGAATTGGGGGGATTTGCCAAAATGCCCACTTTGTCAACTCTCCAAAATTACTAATCCCCACTCTAAGTGCTTTCATGAAAATGTATATGTGTGTGAACATGATTTTTTTTTTAATCCTTAGTATCCCATGTCCCAACGTTACTAAATGTTAACATTTTTAGCTTGTCTTTTTCTATGAAGTATCAAAAAAGAAAAAAAAAAGGTGTTATAGGTGTTATAACCTAGAATCCAGGACAAGCAGCCCATGCGCAGCAAGCCACAGTTCAGCATGCCCAATCACAAGGCCCAGTTTGAGCCACAGAGAGTGAAGGGTACAAACCACCAATCAAATATGTCTACTCTAGGAAGGTCACGTCACCTGCAAGTTAGTTACAAGTTATCATGCACCGGGAGTGATTTATACCAATGTAAGAAGAGTATAAATAGCACCACCACCTGCAACTTCTACCAGATCCATGGCAGCTGAGTTGAGAGTGGATCAGCTCGAGGTCGATCTCCATGAGGTGATCATCGATCTTAAGGATATCAAGGTGTTATTGGTGATGGCTTCCAGGTTTGAGGAGATGATGACATCGAATAAGAAGAATGGTGAGCAGGAAGCTTCCAGTGATGGTAGTGCGAGGAGAGTTGGTTGGCCAGGTGTGCAAATGATTAAACTAGAGTTCCTGGTGTTCTCAAGTGAGGACCCTACTCCTTGGCTTTATAGAGTAGAATGCTACTTTGGTGATTCCATGAAATACCAGCTGTGCAAATGTTACCCATGGCTTCGCTGCATCTAGATGGGGAAGCTAGCATGCGGTACCAATGGTACCACAAATTCCACATACAATTAACTTGGCTTGACTTCATGGAATCCCTCTGTGTCCGATTTGCTCCCTTTGGCTATCAGGACTTCAATGGAGCCTTAGCCAAATTCAAACAGATCAGGACAGCCAAAGAATACCAAGTGGAATTTGAAAAACTGGCAAACTGGGTGCATGGTTGGCTAGAAAAAGTCTCTTGTAGGATGCTTTGTGGAAGGATTAAGAGAAGACATAAGGGTGGAGGTCAAGGCCATTCAACTGACCTCCTTTATCTCGACTGTGGGTCTTGCAAAGTTGCAGGAGGAGAGACTAAACAGTCTGAAAAAGATTTCCAGGCCCATGGTTATTCTCAAGAGCCCACCTAATCGAGTCGAGCCCATCCATAATAAGACTCCGAGACCTGGGCCCCCTACTTTACCATATAAGCAGCTGACATGGAAAGAAATGGAAGCCTGTAGGGACAAGGGCTTTGTTATAATTGTTATGAGGGATTTGTCTCGGCCCACCATTGCAAGGCTCAACAAATTTACTTAGTGGATGACGTGGAAGATGAGTTGTCTAAAACTGCTAATATCAAGGGAGAGGATAAATCTGATGAGAACCCAAGGGCCAACTACTACGCCATATCCTTGCAGGTGTTTGTTGGGATGGAATCTCCTCAAACCATGAGGGTCACGGGCCAACTACTGGGCCAAAGGGTATCAATTTTAATTGACAGTGACACTCAACTTCACCACTTTGCTTACTAGACAATTGGGCCTGGGATTTTAACCCTTTGACCCTTCTAAATCCATTCCTGGTTAACCTACACCCAGTGGTTGCAGCAGTTACGCCCAGTGCTTTGTGACTGGACTAAATTAACTAAGGACTTTAAGGTAGATAGACACAAGGTTTGACTTATTGGTTTCAGACCTCAGAAGCCCAAGAGTGGGTCACCTGAATCTCTAATAAAGGCCTGTAAATACATGGGTAACCCATCTTTCATGTACCTGGGGCCTGGGCTCATTGACAGTAGGGCCAAACTTATCCTCCAACCTGGATGCTCCAGAAACTGAAGAGAATCAAGCCCAATTACACCAACTACTGCCAGCCTATTCAGATGTTTTTTAGGAGCCTACCTCTCTTCGCCTGGACCCATGACCATCACATAGAACTCCAATTGGGGACCCCACTAGCAAATGTTAGACCCTACTGGTATCCCCACTACCAAAGAGAAGAAATTGAAAAAGAGGGTGCAAGAACTGTTTGACAGAGGCTTTATTAGGCCTAACAATAGTCATCCCCCGTCCTCTTAGTAAAGAAAAAGGATGAGTCACAGATTTTGTGTTGATTGCTAGCATTAAATCAAAGCCATAGTCAAAGACCGGTTCCCCCACTCCACTCATAGAGGAACTATTTGATAATTGGGCTAATCAATCTATTTCTCCAAGTTAGATTTGAGGTCCAAGCATCATATTCGGGTGCACCCAGGAGACATTAACAAAACAGCCTTTTAGGCGACTGATGGACATTATGAATGTGTTTAAACCCTTTCTGCAATAGTTTATTTTGGTTTTCTTTGATGATATTTTAGTCTACAACCCTACTTGGGCCCCTCACATGCAGCATTTGGCAAGCACTCTAGAGACCTTGAGACAACATCAGCTCTTTGCCAAGTTGTCAAAGTGTTCATTTGGGCAAACACAAGTGCAATATCTCAAGTATATCATTTCAGGGGATAAGGTTCAAACCGATCCTGAGAAGGTGAGGTGCATGGTGAATTGGGCTTGACCCACAACCCAAAAGGCCCATAGAGGCTTCTTGGGCTTAATCGGGTATTGCCATTGATTTATTAAAGGTTGCAAAGAGTTAGCTTCCCTGTTGACCCAATTGCTTAAGAATGAATCCCTTGAATGGAGTGAAAAAGAAGAGTAGGCCTCCCACATTGGCATTACCTGGTTTTACTAAAGAATTCATTGTGGAAACCGACGCTTCCGACTGAGGATTGGTGCAATCCTCATGCAATAAGGCCAACCCTTATCTTACTTTAGTAAAGCCTTCACCAAGCAGCTAAGCAGTATCAAGCACTTGTTGGATCAAAGGATACTAAGCAGTCTAAGCCCAGAACAACAAAAATGGGTTGTCAAGCTACTAGGCTATGACTTCAAGATCGAGTACAAACCAGGCTCTTCAAATGCGGTGGCTAATGCATTATCACATGCAGAGGAAATTTGCGCTATAGGCTTGTCCAAGCTACAGTACCCCCCACTACATCGCTTGAAGGCTGAGGCCCAATAGGGCCTGGATTTGGCCCACATTAAGGAGCAATATTTGATCAGCCCAACCCTGTGCCCAGCATACTTAGTAGTTGGGCTGGATTTATTTCAATAAGGGTGGTAGCAGCTAAGTCAGCCCATCACCAGGACCTACTCCAGTTATTCCATGATCCAGCTATTGGGGGCCACTCTGGGGCCCTACACGCATAAAGAAAGCTGACCCAACACTACAAGTGGAAAGGAATGAAAAGGATGGTCTATGATTATGTTCAACACTTCCAGGTATG